TCAATCCCAAGGACTTCACATTTAAGAAGTATAATAACTGTTGATCAATACCAAAGAGCCAAAAACGTTTAACAAACAAACCATTGAGCTTCTTCTTGACTGCACAGTTGAAATCATATTCAATTGGATGAACCAGTTTCAAGAAAGATTAAATTCTAATGGTTAACAACAATGATTCATCAACTCCCAAAAGCCATTATCTAAAAGAAAATAGTAACACTTTGACTGCAATATCGGACTTTTTTTAGATTCTCTGTTTTAAAACAGAGTAGTATTACTTTTCTTTTTTTTTTGGTCACGTAAAGTAGTAAAACAGAGTATTACACTATTACTATGTTAATATTTATATTGGGCTTTTGGAATAAAATCAAGCCCAATATAAATCCACTCCAGGCCAGAACTTTATGATTCTTTACAAAACAACCCCGTAATTGTGGAAGTTTCAAATAAACCCTTTAATTAACGAAAATAAGAATAATATAATCGACGAAAATAAGCATCTGCAGAAGAGTAGCTCTGGAAATCCAATAAGAAAAATATCCGAAAGAGGTAACAAAAGTAACACTTTTGTCTAAAGATGGACAATGCAGATTTGCAAGAATCTCTCTGGTTTCTTCAAGTCTCTACCTTGGAATTGGAATTCTTCACAATCAAATTCCTTAAACAAGTGTTCAATGCCGAAGATGTAACCAAGGAAGCTCTCAATAGACTTGTAGCCTAATTCCAAAAAAAACAAAAAAAATCAGTAATTTATTTGGAAGAATGGTTAAAATGCAATTACAACAAGCATATATAGTATATACCTCTGTTTTTGTGATTCTGATTTCTTGCACCTCAAGATCCTCTGCATGAATCTGTAACTTCTTCAAGAAGCAAACAGTTGAGCTTGTGTTCATGGGAGTAATGATTAGATCATCTGACACTGTAAACGTTGTATCTCTCTTCACAAATCCGCTACCTTCTGGTGACTGTTCGCTTCCATGAGATTTTGGATCCATCAAAACCACATGATCCAGATTACAGCCTGTCTCCAAGTAATAAGAATCGTCATGATGCTCGTAGTAAACCGGAGGTTGCTCAGTGATGATACTAAGCAACTGCTTCTTGGGGCCATGCTAATCTTCTCTGTATCGTTCCAATTTTATCAGATGTACCCCGAAGGGACAATCAGTAGTTGTACTCTAACGCTTTTTAAACTCGCCTTCTTCTCTTGACTTTGGCGATGTGGGACATATGCTACTGTTTCTGTGTAAATGGGCCTTTTTATTACAATTAAATGGCCTATTATGTCATTGTATGATTCGCGGTATTAACCACATGATCCAAATCAGAGTTCTTGCTAATACTGTTAACTTGAACGGTCTTACAAAAAGAAGAAAAAGAGAAGTAGCTAAAATGAAAAGATCTGCAAAAGTAGCAAGAACTAATATAGTCACTGATCATTAGCAAGAACTTGAAGTTTCCAGCTGAAACATTGCTCTTCAATTCTCAATCTTAGCATTCTTGACGTGGACTATGCGGAATTGCAATTTCTTGTTTCTGCAAGTCTCTCTACCTTGGAATTCTTCACAATCAAATTCTTTAAACAAGTGTTCAATGCAGAAGATGTCACCAAGGAAGCTCTCAATAGACTTGTAGCCTAATTCCAAAAAAAAAAAAAAAATCAGAAATTTATTTGGAAGAATGGTTAAATATGTTACTACTACAGTACTTTGATAAAAGGGTAGATACAATTACCTCTATTTTGGTGATGCTTATTTCTTGCACCTCAAGATCCTCTGCTTGAATCTCAAACTTCTTAAGTAAGCAAATAGTTGAGCTTGAGTTCATAGGAGTAATGATTAGATCATCTGATACTGTAAACTTTGTGTCTCTCTTCACAAATCCACTACCTTCTGGTGACTGATCCCTTCCATTAGATTTTGGATCCATCAAAACCACAGGATTCAAATCAGAGTTTATCGTCAAACCACTACCAGGGATCTTGTAGCAGTCGTAAACCGGAGTTTGGTCAGTAGTGATATCAAGCAACTGCTTCTTACATCTGTAGTAATGGTGCAACATTGATTTGTGTGTTGTCCTTTCATTAACACCACTCAAGTCATTGAAGCTCCCAAACAAGTTTCCAATGCACCCATTAGTGGAGATGTTACCAAAGATTTCCAATACAGATTCCAAAGGGACAGCGAGAAAACTGAAGAGATGATCAACAAAGTCTTCTCCGCATTCGACATATAAAATATTCATGTCATGTTTCCTCACGACCGCACTCAAAGTTAATACCTTCTCCGGTTCTGCTTCAACTCCATTCTTCTCCTCCACACATTGACTCAAAATTTGATCAATCTTTGACGAATCTTGTGTACTTTCCTTGTTATTCAAGAAAGCATCCGTCAAGGGAGCATTTGATGAGAAGATACATTCAAGCAGAGTTAATACCTAGAGCAAAGTTACAAGTTAGAGATTAGAGAAGTAGAGATACATAGCTTGTTGGAGAATAAAGTAAGAGATTTATACCTCTTCAAAACCAACATCAACAAGCTTTTCTCCAAGCTTACTAACATCAACATAGCCTTGAGATTTGAGCTTATTCAAAACAAGACTAGTGGAACTAACTGCAACATTCAAATCATCGGTTATGATGTAAGAACACCTACCACTAACAAATACTCCATTGGCATCGTTTTGTAAGCTAGCTGAAACTCGCGGTTGTGATGATAATGGCATCTCCGCATTCATCAAATTACCACATTTGCACAGAGAAGTGTTGAAATTGCTGCACAAGTTACATAAATTCCGACACGTGAAGAACTTGAGATCATCTGTAGGGTTTATGTCAAGCTTAAGCTTTCGACACTTGACCTCACTCAAACTCCTTGGGTTAAGCAAGATCTCTTTACTAGCTTGAGTCTCGAAATTGTGAATGTCCATGTCCACAACACTTTTGTAGAGGTTGTTAAAACAACCAATAGTTATTGGCTTAGAAGATTCTCGATGCTTCTCGAGCAATCTGACAATAGCTCCCATTGGTAGTGTCAAGAGGCTAAAGAGAACATCAACAAAATCCTTACTAGCTTCAGCCAAAACGACTTTGTTTTTCTCTTCATCGACGAAGAGTCTAAGCCTAACCTTAGGTTCTCTACAAGTTTCAGCCATTTTAGGTCAGAGAAACTAAAGAAAAGAGCAAAACAGGAAAAAAAGTATAGTTGAATCCTAGAAGAAGAAGCAAAGTGTTATTAATAGGGTTTATATATATGTTGGGGAATGGGGAACCTAAAAACCCTAAAACTCATGGCAATAAAAAAGGAAATTATGGTTTAGAATTAGGAAACAGAGGAAAATCATGGATTTTTCACCAAGTTTGGCCACAAGTTTTCTGATATTCTTAAAAACAATCCCCTAGCTTTTTAAGTTTCGAATAAGAGCCCATCTAAAATGAACCACAAGACAAATGAAACTACAGAAACATTCATGATACTAACCGAAAGATTTTATACCGATCAAATTTAGCAACAACTTGAAGTTTTTGGTTTGAACATTGCTTCTCAAGTCTCAATTCTTGGACAAACACTAGAAAACAAAGGACCTTTAGAGATTTTGAGGTAGGAATTAGGGTTTGAAAAATGAAGCTATAAACTCATTTAAACAACAGAGAAATGAAAAAAAGATGGCTAGGCAATGAGGGTTTGCTAGAATCTCTCTCAGCTCTGGTGTTTCTTCAAGTTTCCTCCTTTGGATTCTTCGCGATCAAGTTCCACAAAGCAGTGTTCAATGCAGATGATGTCACCAAGGAAGCTCTCAACAAACTTGCAGCCTGATTTACAAAAACAGAAATCAGAATCATTTCTACAAAAATAGATACAATTATAGTCATTACCTCTGTTTTGGTGATTCTTATTTCTTGCACCTCAAGATCCTCTGCTTGATTCTGCAACTTCTTCAGCAAGCAAAAGGCTGAGCTGGAGTTCATTGGTGTAATAATCAGATCATCTGTTACTGTAAACTTTGTGTCTCTCTTGGCCGGATAGTATATGCTACAATACATTGATACATGGTTACAATACATTGATACATTGGTTTTGTGCCGGATAGTATAAGTTACAATACATTGATACATGGTTTTGTTAAAGAAGAAAACATGACTAAAGCTTTTGATTTGGCCAAGAAGATGGAGGAGAAGCGAGGAGGATTAGTAGTGGCTACAATTCGATCTTACATGGGTTTTGTAGACAGAATCAGATGAAAGAAGCTGAGGTTGTACTAAGGAAGATGATTGAGAGAGGTGTAAATCCTGATAAGTCGACGTATTCCTCTTTGATCAATGGATTTGTTTCTCAACCGAGACGTTTAGGTTGCCGGAACAAAATCATGGCCTACAAAATTGTTGGTTAGCTTTGGAACAATCGGTCAACTGCAGAGATATTGGTGTTAATCCAAGGATGCAGGTTGTTCAAGGACAGTTTCAACAGAGCCACAACAGTTGGGAAAGCTTATAATAATCATCTGTGGAGGTGGTGGCTTTGTGCTTCATCACGTCATCTGTGGAGGTGTGCTTCATCGCCAGCATCTTAGTCTTAGTCTTTTTACGAGGAGTCGGAGTCG